ACTCGGTACCGAAAAAAAAAAAAAGAAGAAAACCGAATCAAAAGACAGGGACCCAGGAATGACACAGGTAATAAAATTATCAGATATTAAAATGACTACTATGAATATACTCTATATGTTCAGAAAAAAAAAAGAATAAATATGAAAGAAGTGACAAGCATAAAAAAAGATCCAGATTAAATTTCCAGAGATGATATATAGTATGTGACATGAAAAATACATTGGATGGGATTAATAGCAGATTTGATATTACAGAAATAAAGATCAGTGAATAATGATATATTACAGCAATACAAACTATAAAAAATGAAGCAGTGGGGGGGAAAGACAAAAATTAACAGGGTATCAGTGGCTATAGAACAATGGCAGCTTACCTGGAGTCTGTAGTAACTATAGTCCCCCCCCCCCCAAAATAAGAGGAAAAACCATTCTTCTTCTTTTTAAACTATTTGAAAAAATAATGCCCTGTAAATTCCAAACTTGAGAATAACTCTAAACTCACAGATGAAAGAAGCTCAATGACCAACCCCTTGTCCCTAGGACATCATAATCATTATTAAAGCAGCCAGAAGAAAAAAAGAAAAACAACACAGACAGGAACATAAGGATAGCAGACTATTCATCAAAAATCATCTTTAAGGCTCAGCACCCATAGCTCAGTGAGCAGGGTGCCAGCCCCATATACACTGAAGCTGCAGGGTTTGAGCCCAGCCCGGGACTGCTAAACAACAATCACAACTGCACCCAAAAAATAGCCAGGTGTTGTGGTGAGCACCTGTAGTCCTAGCTACTTGGAGACTGAGGCAAGAGAATGGCTTAAGCCCAAGAGTTGGAGCTTGCTGTGAGCCACATCACTCTATCGAGGGCAACACAGACTTTTAGACTTTGTCTCAAGAAAAAAAAATCATCTTTAATCTTTAAGGCCGGGTGCAGTAGCACACCTGTAACCCCAGCACTTGGGAGAATGGCTTAAGCCCGAGAGTTGGAGCTTGCTGTGAGCCACATCACTCTATCGAGGGCAACAAAGACTTTGAGACTTTGTCTCAAGAAAAAAAAAAATCATCTTTAATCTTTAAGGCCGGGTGCAGTAGCACACCTGTAACCCCAGCACTTGGGAGGCTGAGGCAGGTGATTACCTGAGCTCAGATTCAAGACCAGCCTGAGCCAGAGTGAGACCCTATCTCTAAAAGAATAGGGCATTGTGGTGGGCACTTGTAGTCCCAGCTACTTGGGAGGCTGAGGCAAGAGAATCCCTTGAACCCGAGAGTTTGAGGTTCCTATGAGCTAAACGCCATGGCATGCTACCATGGATGACCAAGAGAGACTCTGTCTCAAAAAAAAAAAGAAATCATCTTTAAAATACTGAAGGAAAACTGTACATCAACATGATGTAAATGATGAATATATACAATTTTGTCAATTAATAAATTAAAAATTAGGGCGACCTGTGGCTCAGTGAGTAGGGCGCCAGCCCCATATATCAAGGGTGGGTGGGTTCAAACCCAGCCCCGGCCAAACTGCAACAAAAAAATAGCCAGGTGTTATGGCAGGTGCCTGTGGTCCCAACTACTCAGGAGGCTGAGGCAAGAGAATGGCCTAAACCCAAGAGCTAGAGGTTGTGTGAGCTGTGATGCCACAGCACTCTACCGAGAGTGACAAAGTAAGACTCTGTCTTTAAAAAATATAAAAATTAGGGTGGGGCCTATGGCTCAGTGAATAGGACACCAGCCCGATATACTGAGGGTGGTGGGTTCAAACCCAGTCCCAGCCAAACTGCAACAAGAAAATAGCTGGGCGTCGTAGTGGGTGCCTGTAGTCCCAGCTACTTGGGAGGTTGGGGCAAGAGAATCCCCTAAGCCCAAGAGCTGGAGGTTGCTGTGAGCTGTGATGCCACAGCACTTTACTGAGGGTGATAAAGTGAGACTCTGTCTCTTAACAAAAAAAAATTAAAATTAAAAATTAATTTTTTAACTGTAAGCCTAGAATACTATACTTAGCAAAAATATTTTCCCTCAAATTAAGGCAAAATACTTTTAAAAAAAAATTAAATCATAGCTGTGTATTTTAATGCAATCAGGCAAAATACTTTTTCAGACAAACAAAAGTAGGAAGAATTCATCATCAACCATTCTGCATTATAAGAACTATGACAAGAATTTCTGCAGGCAGAAGGAAAATGTTACCAAAAGGAAATCTGGATTACATAGAAGAATGAAAAGCATTGGAAATGGCAATATGTGGGTAAATATAAAAGGCTTTTTCATTTAAAAAAAATCTTTAAAAATTCTGGGCGGTGCCTGTGGCTCAGTGAGTAGGGCGCCAGCCCCATATACTGAGAGTGGTGGGTTCAAACCCAGTCCCAGCCAAACTGCAACAAAAAAAACAGTTGGGGATTGTGGCAGGCACCTGTAGTCCCAGCTACTCGGGAGGCTGAGGCAAGAGAATTGCCTAAACCCAGGACTGTGAGTTGCTGCGATGCCACAGCAGTCCACCAAGGGCAACGGAGCGAGACTTTTTCTCAAAAAAAAGAATAAAATTCAGCTGGGCACCTCCTCATTACATTACAGTGTAAGAAAATTGTGGTTACATGCACATTATAATGAAAAGTAATGCTGGCAGTGCCCATAGCTCAGTTGGTAGGGTGCCAGCCACATACACCAAGGCTGGAGAGTTTGAACCCAGCCTGGGCCAGTTAAAACAACGAGAACTGCAACAAAAAAATAGCTGGGCCTATAGTCCCAGCTACTTGGGAGGCTGAGGCAAGATAATCACTTAAGCCCAAGAGTTTGAGGTTGCTGTGAACTGTGATACCACTGTACTCTACTAAGAGTGACATAGTGAGACTCTGTCTCAAAAAAAAAGGAAAAAAAAGGGCAGCACTTGTGGCTCAAAGGAGTAGGGCGCCAGCCCCATATGCCAGAGATGGTGGGTCCAAACCCAGCCCTGGCCAAAAAATCGCAAAAAAAAGAAAGGTAATGCAAAACAAAAGTAGTCTCAGTCTAGCATAAGTTCAAAGCACTTGTTATTACTATTTTAGTCGGGATGCCCTTCCCAAAGAATACATTAAACCATTTTTTACTACTGCAAGCTTAAGCTATGTTTTTCTATACCCCTGTCCTGGACTCCTGGAAAAAACAAGTCTCTTCCTATCTGAGCTCTGGGTTCTGACTTCAACTTCAGGCTGCCCTACTGGTGGTTATTTGCCTTTTTAGCTAAACAAGAACCCTGCTGAGCTCTGCCCCAACACTCTTCTGCTGCCTTTCTTCTGGCACTTGTTTCTTTCTTTCTTCTTTTTTTTTAAGAGACAGAGTCCCACTACATTCCCTTTGGTAGAGTGCCATAGCATCATAGCTCACAGCGACCTCAAACTCCTAGGCTCAAGCAACTCTCCTGCCTCAGCCTCCCAAGAAGCTGGGACTACAAGCACCCACCACAATGCCTGGCTACTTTTTTTGTTACAGTTGTCATTGGCATTTAGCTGGCCCAGGCCAGTTTCGAACCCGCCACCCTTGGTGCATGTGGCCCACGTCCCAGTCACTGAGCTACCGGCACTGTCTGGTACTTGTTTCTTGCAGTTTTTTTTTTTTTTTGGCCAGGGCCAGTTTGAACTCACCACCTCCGGTATATGGGGTCGGTGCCCTACTCCTTGAGCCACAGGTGCCGCCTGGTACTTGTTTCTTAAACACCCATCTCCATCTCACACCTTGAATCCCAGTCTCCCAGGCCTGGGTTACCTGGCCTTTTTTCATGGCTACTCTACAAACCCTTCCGATGTAAAAGACCTCGAGTGGCGCCTGTGGCTCAGTGAGTAGGGTGCCAGCCCCATATACCGAGGGTGGTGGGTTCAAACCCGGCCCGGCCAAACTGCAACAAAAGTAGCTAGGCGTTGTGGCAGGTGCCTGTAATCCCAGCTACTCAGGAGGCTGAGGCAAGAGAATCACCTAAGCCCAGGAGTTGGAGGTTGCTGTGAGCTGTGATGTCATAGCACTCTACCAAGGGTAACAAAAGTGAGACTCTGTCTCTAAAAAGAAAAAATTAATCCCACTGAACTGTACACCTAAAAATGATTACGAGAGTAAATTTTCTATGTATTATCACAAAAATAATTTTTAAAATAGCTAAGATGAACTGGATGTGGTAGGTCACACCTCTAATCCTAGCACTTTGGGAGGCTGAGGTGGGTTGATTGCCTGAGCAAGAGTGAGACTCTGTCACTACTAAAATTAGAAAAAAAAAACAAAACAGCTGGGAGAAACATGAAACAGGGTAATGATACAGGGAGTGACCAGGTGGGGTAGGAACTCCTTTATGAGTTCGATAGCCAGTGAAAGCCTCTTTGAAGAGGTGTGTTGAGCAGAGACCTGAATGAGAAGAGGGAGCCAACCAAGAGAAGACGATGCAAAAGCATGCTCCAGTATAAGGGAAAAGCAAATGTAGAGACCCAATTTCAGGAACAGAAATTGCTGATGTGAGGTTCGGCTCCATGGCTCATGCCCATAATCCCAAACACTCTGGGAGGCCAAGGCGGGCAGACTGCCTGAGCTCAGGAGTTCAAGACCAGCCTGAGTAAGAGAATAACCCCTTCTCTAAAAAATAGCCAGGTGTTGTGGTGGGCACCGGTAGTCCCAGCTACTCAGGAGGCAGAGGCAAGAGAATCATTTAAGCCTAAGAGATTGAGGTTACTGTGAGCTGTGACACCACAGCACTTTACCAAGGGCAACAAAGTGAGACTCTGTCTCCAAAAAAAAAAAAGAAACTGCTGATGTGGCTAAAGTATAGAAAATGAGGAAAGACAGTAGTATAGGGATGAAGTCAAAGCAGTAAAAAGGGGCTGAGGTGCTGTGGGTAATGCCTTGTGTGTCATCACCATCTGCATATTGAAAATGCCCACAGCATTTTGATCTCAGTCATCTTACTGATGATTCCGCATGACATTAATATTCTTTCCACTCCTTTAACAAACTCTTTAGTACTACCACCTGGTACAGGGAACTGCTCACCCCTTTAATGAAGGTGGGTTTGTCCTTTATGCCAAAGTTCCAGAGCAATATATCTCCCCCTTTGGAACCGACAGCCACAGTGCTGGGGTGAGTTGGGTGCCACACCAAGGATGTAGCCCTCCTGTCAAAGGGAGCAGCCTTTTGGAATATCCGGTAGGAGTCCAGAGAGTGCAAAAAGGACTGCTGGAGACCCTGACAAAGAGAGAAAAGAATTAAATTGAATTAAAACCTCAAGTCCTTGATAAATTTTTAATCTCTTCACACAAGAGTCCTAGGGCTAAGTCCTCCCACCAAAGGGAAGCTGACTAGCTGGCCCCATGCACAGAAATATTTGGAATGTACACAAAGTAATCTTGGAAAGCAAAGGGGCAGAGTACACTCCAGCGGGGACCTTTAGAACAAAAGACTTTTCTACCTGGCTAAGTGCCCAGTAGGCCAGTCACTGAAGTCTGACCACTCTTGACAGCCTGCTAAACTAACCCATCATTTAATTTTGAAATATTCAACAGTAAAAAGTCACATGCAATCCCTTAAGCACTTCAGCCACAAAACGTCTTACCTGCTGTAGTGCTGGCCATGCAGCTCTGCCCAACTTATACTGGTGGAGGGTCCTGACAATGCTGTGGCATGGTAGTGGGACCTGCAGGCTACCCAATCCCGCCCAAAGGCAGTCTGAGTCACATCTTCTGCTAGAATCTGCCAAGGAGAACAGACATATTTTCCTCTCTGATCTCAGGAAAAGTTTTTTTCTGATGAAGTCTCAGAAAAGAAAGCTTTGTTGTCTCATTTGGCAAAGCCAATCTGTGTCATCACTTCCTGAGGCCTTTCCATGGTCTGTTTTAGTCTCACCCAGCGTAAGAAATAATGAGTAGGGATGTGGCCCCTTCCCCCAAACAGTAATTCTTTACATGAAACTAAATATGATCTTGCAAGGTTCCTGAGAGTCAGGCCCAAGAAACATACAAGAATAAAGTACACTGTAGTGCTTTTCCCAGTTTGGGCTGCAAAACTCGAGATGGGATTGGGTGGTAATTCTAAAATCACATATAATGCACAATAGAAAGGCTTTAGGGCAGCACAGAAGTGACAGGTTAGGTAAAGAAAGGTTAAGAATGTCTGGAATAGCTCTAAATTAACTAAGGTATTTCTGTAGGATAACTCAGAATAGGAATAAACTCTGGATCACCAAACTCTATTTGAGGACCCAATCGCTACGGGTCCAAGTTCTTGACAACCAATTCTTTCTTCTCATGGATAAAAAAACGCTTAATCAACAAGACCCTGCTCAACTTGAGTTCTCTTACATTCCTTTTATCCCCGGGTTCACGCCCCACTAAACCTCAGAGAAGGAGCTTTTGAAGGGAGGAAGGGAGGGCTCCTACGGATGAAACCAAGGACATATACAACTAACAATGTTGACTATCGAAATTCAGCATCCACAGCGCCAGGAAAGGTAGAATTATTTTAAGCAGTCCTAAGTGTGTAAAAATCCTGATACCAAAAAAGAATTTGAAAAGTCCGTGTGTCAGTTGTTGTGGAGATCATCTGCTTCTTCCTGTCACCTGGGGGTGGGGGGTGTCTAAGCCTAAACTCTCAGTCAAGCAGACAGAATGCACAGCCTGAGGCACCCGCCATCTGGGACTGCCTCAGCAAACTACGAGCACCCGTCCCCCATTCCGGCCTCCAGCGTGAGCACCCTAAATGGCGGAAATATTAAAGCAGCAGGCGAAGCAGTACCGGAGCCCTTCACAAAGAGCTTCTTGGCCTCGGGCGTCAGCTCCCGGGGACTTCTGTTCCTCTTGTTCCTGAGGCGTAACACAATCTCGGAGGTCTTCTGGGTTTCTGGGAGTTTCCTGGGAGCCATTGCGTCCTCCGTGAGGAGTACTATACCCTATGCCGAGATCATGGAGGTAGGATAGAGAAGCCTCTGGGGAGAAATAAGGCGGAGACTAGGAAACCGCGAAGCCACAGGTAGTCCAACTAAGCCAACTTCCCGCCAAACATGCCCAGGGCAGGTTCAAACTAGCTCCGAGCGTCAGCCCCACCCGTCTCGCAGAGGCCCCGCCCCTTCCTGGAAGGCGGGGCACGCGGAGTGTTGGAAGCCCTGAGGGGGCGGAGCCTTCGCTCCCTTGAGGGCGCCAGGAGGGATTAGGGGGGCGCTGCTCCAGCCTGGGTTCGCTGACCTGCCAGAAACCAAGATGGTGCCCAACTTGAAGCCTCTTCGAACGCTGGGCTGCCAGATTTTGCGGGCGGCGGCGGCGGCGGCGGCGACCCAGATGCCAATCAAGGCCTTGGCTTCGCCTTCACTGCCTTCTAATTGGTGATGAAGCCCGCTTTGGGATTGACTGGCGCATACAGAGAGTATTTGGGGTGTGGCTACTTTGTAGAGCTTTAGTACCTTCTCTGCTTTGATTGCTAAGACTTTTCCCGCGCATCGCCTGTGCAGCTCGAGTCAAGTACTTACCAGTACAAATCCTGCTTCTCTGTGGAGCATGGTTAGAACTCACTACTTCTATTTATTTATTTATTTATTTATTGACACAGAGCCTCTGCCTCCCAAGTAGCTGGGACTACAGGCGCCCACCACAACGCCCGGCTCATTTTTGGTTGCAACCGTCATTGTTGTTTGGCGGGCCCAGACTGAATTCGAACCCGCCAGCTCCTGTGTACGTGGCTGGTGCCTTAGCTGCCCGCTTGAGCCACTAGCACCGAGCCTATTTCTTTACTTTTTTGAGACAGAGTCTAACTATGTCGCCCTCGGTAGAGGACTATGATGTCACAGCTCACAGCAACCTCAAACTCTTGGGCTTAAGCGGTTCTCTTGCCTCAGCCTCCCAAGTAATGAGGACCACAGGTGCCCGCCACAATGCCCAGCTATTTCTTCCTTGTCGTTGTTGTCGTTGTTTGGCAGGCCTTGGACCAGGTTCGAACCCTCCAGCTCTGGTGTGGCTGGCGCCCTTGCTGCTGAGCTACAGCAGGCGCCCAGCTGGAACTCACTACTTTTAACTGTTTCCCAACCTGTTGATTGTCAGCCTAGGGAGCAGTCTGGGTCAGTGATGGTTCGAAGCGCGTGGGGTCAACGGGGCTTAGAGCCTGGTACCCTGTCTTAGCCAAAGGCAAAAGCACCTAGGTTCACAGCTAAGAGACAGTTCAGATGCACCCCACTTTCTCTGACAAGCAGGCAAGAGTTGGCCTTCGTCGGGCACTGCTGAGCCTTTCTTCCACCCACTAAACTCCTTGCCAGAAGCTTTTGGAGGATGGGAGGAGATAGACAAAAATGTGTTAATACTAGATCTGCACTGGAGCCTTCAGCTACCTACGGATGGAAGGCATTTCCAAAAGTAACTCTTTCAAAGGAATGAATGCTCCAAAATTAGAAAGTACTTTCTTGATAGGAAGATAAGCTGAGAGTGTTAGAAATGGCATTGCATGGGAAAAGAGCAAGCTGGGGGCTTCTTCCCTGCTGGGATGTAGCTGTGGGGTTTTGTTGTTGTTGTTTTTCTTTCTTTTTTCTTTTTTTTTGAGACAGAGTCTCACTATGTCGTCCTCAGTAGAGTGCCGTTGCTTCACAGCTTACAGCAACCTCAAACTCTTAAGCTCTAAAGATTCTCTTGCCTCAGCCTCCCAAGTAGCTGAGACTACAGGCACCCGCCACAATGCCTGGCTATTTTTTGGTTGTAGTTATCATTGTTGTTTGGCAGGTCCAGGCTGGGTTCTAACGCTGTGGCCCGTCCAGCCCTGGTGTATGTGGCCCGAGCCCTAGCTGCTGAGCTACAGGCGCCAAGCCTGTTGTTTTAAGATAAAAGTCTCACTTTGTCACCCTTGCTAGAGTGCCGTGGCATCACAACTCAACAGCAACCTCAAACTCCTGGGCTCAAGTGATTCTCTGGCCTCAGCCTCTTGAGTAGCTGGGACTATGGGTGCTCGCCACAATGCCTGGCTATTTTTAGAGTTGGGGTGGCTCTCTTGTTCAGGCTGGTCTGGAACTCCTGAGCTCAAGCAATCTATCCTCCTCATCCTCACAGAGTGCTAAAATTACAGGTGTGAGCGACCATGCCAGGCTGTAGCTGTGTTTTCAGAGTTGTGTTACAGAAGCAAGGTGCCAGCCCTGCCACTTACCAATACTAGTTGCTTCTCATCAAGTTGCTGCTCAGTTTTAGAGAATACTAAAGTATAAGAAATTAATCCTGCTTCTAAAAGATTTAACCTACTGGGAATAGATGAAAGATACATGTGAAACAACTAAAATAATTCAAGATAAAACACAGTTGAGGAAAAACTGGTATGCCAAGCAACTTTTTTAGATGCATTCAGAAAAGATAATCCCATAGAAAACTGTATTTGGGGCTTGGCGCCTGTGGCTCAAGTGGCTAAGGCACCAGCCATGTACACCCACGGTGGCGGGTTCGAATCCAGCCCAGGCCCGCCAAACAGTAACGACGGCTGCAACCAAAAAAAAAAAATAGCTGGGTGTTGTGGTGGGCGCCTGTGGCTCAAAGAAGTAGGGCACCTGCCCCATATGCTGGAGGTGGCAGGTTCAAACCCAGCCCTAGCCAAAAACTGCAAAAAAAAAAAAAAAAAAAGTATCCCAGGCAAGGAACAGTTTGGTAAAATTTAAGAATGAGGTTGGGTTATAAGAAGGAAAAATCAGGGGCAGCGCTTATGGCTCAAAGGAGTAGGGCACTGACCGAATATGCTGGAGGTGGTGGGTTCAAGCCCAGCCTTGGCCAAAAAAAGGAAAAATTAGCCGGGCATGATGGCTCATGCCTATAATCCCAGCACTTGGGAGCCTGAGGCAGGTGGATTGCTTGAGCTCACAGGTTTGAGACCAGGCTGAGCCAGAGTGAGACTTCATTGATAAAAATATCTGGGTGTTGGCTTGGTGCCTGCAGCTCAAGCGGCCAGGCCACCAGCCACATACGCCAGAGCTGCCGGGTTCGAATCCAGCCTGGGCCGTCCAACAACAATGACAATACAACCAAAAAATAGCCAGGCCTTGTAGCAGGTACCTGTAGTCCCAGCTACTTGGGAGGCCGAGACAAGAGAATCACTTCAGCCCAAGAGTTTGAGCTTGCTGTGAGTTGTGACGCCATGCCACGACACTCTACTGAGTATGACGAAGTGAGACTCTGTCTCAAAAAAAAAAGAAAGAAAAATCAGCTCCTTGCATCTGGCGGCTGGCCTAGTACTATCAGCAAGGCCTGGATATCATGTTTCCTCAAGAATAAGACACTGTCTTATATTTATTTTTTCACAAGAAGACACACTAGGGCTTATTTTCAGGGGATATCTTATTTTTATTAAGCATAATGCAACAATCTACATTTATTCAAATATAGTTAAGTGGAACCTGACAGGGGGAGCCAACCTTGTTGGTGGGGTTAGTGATGCATGAACTCCTTTCCCCTAGCCCTTCACATGTGCATAATAGGATGCCTGCGACCACGGTTACCACACATGCACCCACTCGAGTGCAAATGGCTCAGAGAAAGGAGCTGTGGCAGAGAAAAGGTATTCCTTCCTTACGGATCTGAAATGCATGGCGTGGCTATGCAGGTACACTGCACAGCCACACCCATCACTAGGTCTTATTATCAGGGTAGGGCTTATATTTAACAAATGCACAGAAATCCGGCTAGGGCTTATTTTTGGGGTAGGGCTTATTTTCAGGAAAACACGGTATTATGTTTAAAGAAACAATTTCACAAACCATCAGATAAGGCTACTCCGTGACCATTATAGATCAAGACCAAAACATGAATACTGATATCTAAACACAGGCAAAAATAAAAATATAAACCTTGGACCAGGTGTGGGGGCTCATGCTTATAATCCCAGCACTCTAGGAGGCTGAGGCTGCTGGATTGCTTGAGTTTAGGAGTTTGAGACCAGCCAGAGCAAGAGTGAGACCCTATTTCTACTAAAAACAGAAAAACTAGCTGAGCATTGTAATGGGTGCCTGTAGTCCCAGCTGCTGGGGAAGCTGAGGCAAGAGGATCACTTGAGCCCAAGAGTTTGAGGTTGTTATGAGCTATGATGATGGCGTGGCACTCTACCCAGGGCAAAAGAGTGAGACTTTATCTCAAAAAATAAAAAACGAGCCTTGGCACCCGTACCTCAGTGAGTAGGGGTGCCAGCCACGTACACCAAAGCTGGGGTTTGAGTCCAGTCCTGGTCTGCTAAACAACAATGACAACTGCAACTAAAAAATAGCTGGGCTTTGTGGCAGGTGCCTATAGTCCCAGCTACTTGGGAGGCTAAGGCAAGAGAATCACTTAAGCCCTAGAGTTTGAGGTTGCTGTGAGCTGTGACACCAGCACACTCTACCCAGGGTGATATACTGAGACTCCTCAAAAAAAGAAAAAATAAAATAAAAAATGAGACAAAACCAAAAAATAGAAAAACTAGCCAGCCATGATGGCAGATACCTGTACTCCCAGCTACATGAGAGGCTGAGGCTAGAAGATTGCTTAAGCCCAAGAGATTGAGGCTGCTGTGAGCTACGATGATGCCACAGCACAGGGTGATAGACTGAGACTGAAAAAAATAAAAAATAATATATATGTGTATGTATGTGTAAACTTGTCCAAACCACAAAAATGATAAAATATCTTCCTAGTTTGGCCAATATGAATAACTGCAGCTGCTTTGCCAATCACGATTTTAGCTTTGCTTCATTCCTCCCACTTAAGCAACTCGAGAGGCTGGAACAGAAGGATTACTCAAGGCCAGGAGTTGGAGACCAGCCCAGTCAACATAGACCTTGTTGCTACAAATTTTTTTTTTAATTAGCCAGGCATGGTGATATGTGCCTGTCATCCCAGCTACTTGGGAGGCTGAGGCAGAAGGATCTCTTGAGCCTAGTGGTTCAAGGCTGCAGTGAGCTATGATTGTTCCACTGTACTCCAGCCTGGGTGACAAAGAGAGACCCTATTTCTAAAAAACAAAAAAATACTGTAAGAGAGGAAAAGAACTTCTTTCTACTCTCTCTCTTTTTTTTTGAGACAGAGTCTTACTATGCTGCTCTCGGTAGAGTGCCGTGGCGTCACAGGTGAC